GTGTGTGGTGACGTTGTGATCCACCCTGAGCTTGTTTTGTTTCTCTTGACTGGTCTTGTGACCCCTTGTTCTCCCCCACTTTGCCTATGGGGGTGTGTCAAACTATGCATATTGTGTTTGTGTAGGCTGCTAGTGGGGTAGCCCATATGGGGTACAACCCAATGTTAGGGTTAGCTTATGTACCCAACACTTCATCAATGCATCTCATTCCTGCTGTCAGATTCTAACATACCCCTCCCACCTCTCTTCACTTCATCCATCTTGGGGTTGCTCGGCAGGCTGGGTGTAACTCCTCCAGCTATGGAGGCAGATAGTGAGTCCGATTTTTCCCCGCTCGACGCTCTAGCTGGTATTTGTGGCTCGGTTGGCACGGTTAGCTTGGATGCCAACGAGACCAATGATACGGACGACGAGGAGGTGGAATACCAAGACGAGGAGGAAGATGACCTAGACGTGGAGGAAGAAGATGAAGCAGAGGAGGAACAAGATGACGGAGAGCACAATTACCTAGACATTGACATCAACGTTGACATCACGCATGCCGAGTTAACCCGAGTCGAGCGCGCGGCACTTGAGTCGAAGAGTTCTGGTCGTCCCGCACGCTTCCGCCAATCTGTGATAAGCTTCGGTGGGACTACTCCTCTGACCCGTCCTGCGAAGAAACGGATGCGCACGCCTTTGCCTCCCCGGCCGGACCCTGTCGCGGACAACGACTGGCGGGCGAACCTGGATGCGGAGAAGAAGAAAACAGTATCAATTCCTGCGTCGGAGCAGGCATTGGCGCGTCACTTCAACCCAGCCTGGAAGTCGCAGTATTCATGGCTAACCCTGGAGTTTCATCCAGTGCTTATGCAGTACGGGATGAAGTGGAAGGTTTGCAAGATACACGCACCTCATACCAAGTCTCCTTTTGGTCGAGGTGGTGCTGGCGGTCGGGATTTCCAGAGAACAGCATGCAAGCAACACGATCAATCTAAGGTGCACCTGGCCGCCATGACCGCCGCGCGACTAGCTGAAGGGACGGAGACAGAGCAGCGCAGTCTCCTCGACATGCTGAGCCGTGACCCGCGAATGGCTCGTGTGATCAAGTGCCTTCAGGCTGCGTACTGGATTGCTCGGCATGATGCTCCCATTGTCCTGTACTCCAGCCTTGTGCGTTTCCTGGCAGATCTAGGGTGCCCTGACATCAAGAACGACGAAGCGTACGGCCGTTACTTCTCAAGGTGTGTATGCGCATTTCTCGGCCCGAAAATGGTAATCTTAAAAGTCTCTGAACTAACATGATGTTTTTAAACATCATTGCAGGTACGCGTTCGGAGAGTTCATAAGCGCCCTGGCTAAGCACTTGAGCGAGCGGCAGCTGAAGGACATCAAGTCCTCCGAGTGGTACGGCCTTTCGTTCGACGAGTCAACCGACCGCGCTCACGGGAAGCACTTGATCGTCTACATCACTTTCGAGAAGACGGAGACGCCCGTGACGCAGTTCCTCGTCAAGAAGGCCAACGCCGTCTCCCTGTGCGCATCTATCTTGGCCTGCCTTGAGGAGAAAGACCTCTCCTTGGAGAAGTTTGTCGGCGTTTCCACAGATGGCGCATCGGTCATGACGGGAGAGAGGAGTGGCGTGGTCGCCTTGCTGCGCAAGAAATGCCTGTGGCTTGTGGCGGTGCACTGCGTCGCCCATCGGTGAGCACCGCCGTCTTGTTGTTTAATTCCGTGATGTAATCCGCGCATTATAACCTCTGTCTTGTTCTTTGTGTTTGCCAATACCCGTGTCACAGGGAAGCGCTAGCCGCCAAGGACGCGGCAACGGAGATCCCTGAGTTCAACGTGGTTGATACTCAGATCCGCAAGATAGCTGAGCACCTCGGCCGCTCGTCTGTGGATCGCAAGACCTTTTTGCATCTGCAAGAGGAGATCCTGAAGACGAACCTGGAGGTCCAAGGGATCTTCTCCGTGCGGTGGTTGTCTCGAGGGGACGCGGTGCAGAGGTTCTGCGACGTTCTGCCGTCCCTGCTTTGGATGTGGAAGGGAGGGAACAAGAAAATGTGGCGGATTGGGAGCAGCTTCAAATTTCATTTCATGCTGTACCTCCTTGCCGATATCCTCGACCTCCTCAACAACCTGAATCTGGCGTTTCAGATAACCGGGTGTGTGTTTGGTACTTGCTCCTTTTGTTTCTTTATTTTACCACTCACTGACTAACGGTGTTAACCCTCTCCACAGGTCGACATCGCAGAGGTTAAGAACCGCGTCGACAAGCTCAAGACGAAGCTGTCACAGCGGTACATCGAGCCCGGCGCCAAGTTCGGGTGCGGCAGTAAGTCCAGGCTGCTGAAGTTTCTGGAAGCCCATGCTGAGGACCGCAACATGAACGTGACTGGGCTGAACGTTGATGGCGAACGGGTGATTGAGGCCTTTGAGCTGCACGAAGAGCAACTCGACCCCGATGATGAAGATGAAGGCGGCTCTGATCTCACGGCCTGCTATGACCTGGGACGGAGGTTTGCGGAGGCGCTCATCAAGAGCCTCTCAACGAGGATGGCGGACCTCCGCCACTTTGACGGTGTGCAGTTTTTTGTTTCTTCCAGCTACCCTTATCGCAGGGGTGACCAGAACATGTGGTTCTCTTCCCACATGGATCAGCTTCTGGAGATGTTCAACCATCAGCTTCCAGGTACAGTTTCTGGACACACGATCTGAGAATGGGATCTCTGACTGACATTTTATTAACCTAGATGACGTATTCATTAATGCTTTGTTTCCGATGGCCATGGCAGGCATCGCAGCAGAGGACATTGAGCCCGAGATCAGGCTCTTCACCGTCACCCTCGAGAAGAAATTCAAGAACCAGAGCTTTCACAAGGGCTTGACCAACGTGCTGCGCACATCCGACTGGCGTGGTGACTATCCCAACATTGTTAAGCTCTGGCGTGCTATCTCAGTCTTGCCTCTCAGCACAGTAGAGTGCGAGAGGGGCTTTTCTAGGCAAAACATTATCAAGACGTGGGATAGGTGTGCTCTCAGCGACGTTAGGCTGTCCGAACTTATGACCGTGAAGATGCTAGATTATGACGTGGACTGGGCAGGTGTGTACCACATCTTTGATGGGGAGAGGAGGCGCAGGCCTGCCACTTAGATTGTATTGTTGAGAATGTAGGTAGGTAGGTACTAGGTAGTAGTTTCAAGATAATAGTGGCTGAAATTATATAGTGAGTACTAATTTCTACCCTGAATGTTGTAGTGTAGCCCTGAATTCAAGTTCTGAGTCGAGTGCTTTACCGGCCGCTTAAAGGGTTGGAAAAGGCCGCTTCCCGGTAATGGCAGGCCTGGAATCAGGGGACCTCAGGGCGTGTTAAATCGGCAGCATTGAAAATTCGGCCTCAAAGCGTCGGGCCGAAGTTGCGAAAGTAACCCTACGGCGACGAGTGACGAAGTTCGCTAATTTCGCAAAAAATAAAAAGATTTGATGGCTGGTTTACGAGGCGACCAAATGGTCGTCGTCGCGTCGACATGTAAACGGCCACATAAACGACTCGTTGTTGCGACTGCACCGCGTCGCGTCGCAAACCGTGGTCTGCGACGAGACGTTTGACACTAGCTCCGCCGACCCTCCATGACAGTGCCACGGAACAGGCTCGCAGGGGTCCTATGCCAAAATTCACGCTTGCCACTTTTTCACGACATGCGGCCCGTCAAACTGTCATCCCCATTCGTTCTCCGTCGCGCCCCACTCGAATGGAAATGACAATTCCCACGGTACAAAAACCAGGGACAAGAACTCCCACAAACAGAAGCTAGCTACACAGATACCTGTTCTACGAATGGCGACACCAAGCGGAGACGACGACCCAGCTAACAATGCTCCCAACGAAAACCACGCTGATCTGCCTGACACTCAAACCTCTCGTAACGACCCGCAACCTCCTCCAATTAGAACCCAAGGCGAGTCGTCGCGCCGTATCAACCCGTGGGATCGACCATCAAGCTGGTGGGTCAACAATTTGCCTGGCCCCGACGCTCCGTATGGCATTGATGACGACTACGGCGTGGGCGAGGAAGCTCCAGAGGTGTGCTCCGCCCTCGACGACGAAGAGTTGGATCCGAACTTAGGACGCACCAACGTTGAGTCAGGTGGAACAGCCTCCACTTCAACCGCGCGGACATCGAGTACCATGCCCCGCTGGAGCAAGGAGGACGAAATGCTCCTCATGCAGGAGCGTTACGAAATGCGCGACAAGTGGTCGGGCATGCGTGGCATTCAGGGGCAGAGCCAGTTTGTGAAACTTCACCATAACATCCTCGCTCGGCAATCCGCGCTGGCGTCATGGTGTCAACGCGTTGCGACCCAAGCTTCGCCGGATGGAGGCAGCATGGCTACGTTGGAGCGGTGTGTGGACACGTTCGGGAGAGGGTCTTCCCGAAGGTTGTCCGCTGTGGTATGACATGGCGGACCAGCTTTGGAGAAACCGGGAAACGGTTCGCCCGACAACCACAATCGAGAGTGGACCGGACGACTTACCTGAGGAGAATGAGCCTACAAACACGGACGCGCCAGCAGACACTACTATGGTAGAAGCTACCACTGGCGCAACTGTCATCCCCACAGCTGATCCATCGCCAAGCGGCGCCGGTAACCGCGGTCCGGCGGAACATGCACCTACTACTGAGAACGTGACGTTCTCTGCGCAACCGGCACCAACGACGCCTTCAACTACAAGTTCGGCAGGCGCACACTCTGGTAAGTCATTTCATTGTTCTCACGTACTAGAATGCATCAAGCAACCAACATTTCCGCAAAATAACGAACCAACATCTCCACATTGTAACATTTCCACATCCGCCGACACACATTGTCAGGTGTCCGTCTGATTCAGAGTGCGCCGCCGGCACTGCATACGACTGCACGCCGGCCAACTCAGACGGCAGCGAAGCCGTCTACATCTACGCCCACCCCCCGTCGTCATCGTGGCTCTCCCCGCCCACGGAAAGCTGCATCCGCACTACACCCCGGTCCAGGGAGGTCGCTCCGTGGTGGTCGCACGACGACGAGGGCGGGACCGGCGTCTGCAAGGGGGGAATACGAGGACGAAGACGAAGACGAGGAAGATTCACTGCCTAGAAATCGCCGCAATTCTATGCGCGGATGGGTGCGTGAAGTCTGCAGGGAGATGACAAGGGAGTTGACAACTGTAGTTCAAACCACAATGACCCAACTGTTTGAACGTACCCGAGAAGCGGACGCGTCATCTCGGGATGACCAAGACGCCACGAAGCGTAAAGGTAAGCGCAAAATCGATTCCGACGATGAACAGGCGTGAACCCTTCGATCTCCCGCCCAATGTGAACAAGGTCGGCGGCCGGCCCGTTGAGCCACCAACGGTTCCGGGGGTAGGGGGTCTCCATGCGGTATCGCGTCACGAGAATAATTTCGATGTTGTGCAGGGTGACGACGGCGGCGATGGCGGCGGGGACGTGGCGGCGATGGCACTCCATCCGGCCGTCGAGGATGCGCCACTTCGTTTTGAGGCGGCCGTTCACCTGCTCGACTATCATCCGCGCACGTGATTGTTGTTTGTTCCACACGGCTTGGGCGTCCGGAAGTAGTTGGCCGGGAGTAGCTCTGTAGGGCACGTAGGTGTAATCTTTCAATCCGTAGGCAGCGTCACTCACAATCACGCGGTTTCCAATGCCTCCTGCCTCAATCCGTCTTTTTGCTTTTGAATGATTAAAGACCTTCGCGTCGTTAACCGAGCCGGGCCACCCGGCTAGCAAACTCCAAACCAAGCCGTTAGCATCCACTATGAGTTGCAAAATCACACTGAAGAATCCTTTTCGGTTCTTAAACTCCTCGGCATGAGGTCCCCACCCTCGGGTATGCACGTACGTACCGTCCATCGCGCCCACAATGCCAGGTATACCGCTGTCAAACTGGAAATCTTCTTCTGCCATGGCCATGTCGTTCTCGTCAGGCCATCGTATCCACTCCTCCATGAGGAAGTCACTGTTGAACTCGATCCATGCTTTACACACTTGATGCACTCGTGCGTGGCTGTAACCAAAGAGCATGCCGAGCTCGCGGTATGTAATTCCGCTTCCAAACCGCACGAGCATCATGGCGACTTGAAGCATCACATTGCAGGCCTTCTTGCCTGTGCTGATGAGATGAGTCGTCCAAGCGCGACAGAGGTAGCCGAAGACATTCCGGTCGACCCGGAGAGCATCGTACAGATGCTGGGGCGAGAGGTGAAGGAAGCGATCCATCCATCGTGCACGCTGAATGGAACGGTCCCTACGCCAGAAAATCTGGTAATCTTCATCGTCGGCAAAGTCAACAAGCAAAGGGATGAGAAGGCTGAGTGTGGTTACCCATGGCATGATTACGCATTGTACCACACCTGCAGCAAGAGTTCGGGTGGCTCGTGGAGTGAAATGGGAATCCATTGGTTGGCGTTGTTTTGGCGATGGTTGGGTGCTGTAGTTATACTGAGTTCTGTTGCTTGGCTAAACATGAGAGGCATGCCAAGTGTAAACGGCGCCGCGTTGAGGTTGTAATCTCCCAATCCCAGCCCGTCCTTGTTGGTTGTGCCAAATGTTGTATCATTTGTGCGACTCCGTCGCACAATTCGGCCACTACCAATTTTACAGGTTCGATGAGGCGGCCCGAAAATCGGCCACCAAACCTGTAAATTCGGCTAACCTGTAAAAGGTGGCTGTAAATATGACGTCGGGTAATCGGCCACCTCGTCGTTGTTCGCGAAGGATACGACGACCATTTGGTCGTCGGAAAATCGGCCACAACACAATTTCGGAAACGTGCGGGGATTTTACACGCCCTCAGCCTCTCAAGTTTTGGCCTGGGACCAATCGACAGCCCTGGTGACGAAGTGGCCTTGCCCAAACAAACACATATGCCTCGATATGTAGGCAAGGTTCGGCAACTCGAGTTCCGAACAGAATACCTTGCCATGCGTGAAAGGCAATGACGGGAGGGAATTTGACCCATGATTACCATTGTGGACCGTATGGCATCCATCTGACACACTTATCCAAACCGCATCTGCATCTGTGGGATTTGAAGCCAAGAGGGGTTCACCCCTGGCCTTTCCTTGTCCTTCACATTCGTATCTGTGTCTTCCGAGATCTGCCTGCGCGATCCACATCACAAACTCAGTGCTGGACTGGACGAACCAGGCAGGCATTGTGAAGATGGGCACGGGACTGACGCTGTACGGCCACGTGCACTCGCCGTTCGTGCGTCGCGTGTTGCTGACGCTCTATGAGATGGGCGTCGAGGTGAGAGCCATGGCCACATGCGCGTCGAGGTGAGAGCCATGGCCACATGCGCGCCGAGGTGAGAGCCATGGTCACATGCGCGTCGAGGTGAGAGCCATGGCCACATGCGCGTCGAGGCGCTATGGGAATTCCTGATTGTGGCAACTTCCCAGGCATGTCGATTTGTCGAGTTCGTTGCTCCGCTACGGACTGCCCCCATGTTGGTGTGTGTATTGGTGAGTGCGCGGCGGCATTCATCCATCATGCTCGCCATGCCGCGCCAGCATTCCGAGTCGCGCAAGCGTGTCTCCCCATTCCCCGGCAGGATTTCGAGTTCAAGGTGGTGAGCACGAGCAAGGGCGACAACAAGACGCCCGAGTACCTCGCCATGAATGTGCGTGACTGGAGTATATGCAAGCATCTCTTAGCGGGAATAAGGGATGACTGTAATGCGTCGTGGCAAAACGACCATTCTGTGTATACTGATAAGGAATAGTGGGAGTGCTGTGCCATCCAGTGACAAAGGTGTGGAGGTGTCACGGCATGGCGCTAGTTGCGACTGTTGGTGCAGCGCAGCATGCCAGTGCGCCGAGGCACTGTGGGTGTGGCACTGGTGGGTGGCTGCGATGGTGGCAGGTACAGTCGTGTCGTGTTCCCCTCCTGCCTTCATATGCACTCATTCTCTCTAATCCGTCTCACTCCCGCCCTCCGCATCTCCCCGTGCTCCTCCCCTGTGCTCCCACTGGCAGCCGTTCGGCAAGATGCCAGTGCTGGACGACAACGGCCACTACCTGTATGGTGCGCGCCCTCACATCACATCGCATCACATCACATCTCTGCCAATGTCGTCAATTATTGCAATAGGTCGCCTCTGTTTTCCCACCTGCTAGCGTCTGAGTGGTTTGCTTATGCAAGGTCCGTCATGCACTACAATTGCTAACCAGCCTGTGCGGAACATTGAACCATGCCTGGCGTGCAACCCCCAGAGTCGCGCGCCATCATGCGTTACATAGCGGACAAGTACGCCGAGGGCAAGCCCAACCTGGTGGGGGCGGACGTGTGGGAGCGCGCAGAGGTGAGCCAGTGGACGGACGTGGAGGCGCACAGCGTCACGGAGCAGGTGGCAGTGGTGGTGGAGGAGAACTTTCTTAAGCCGCTCATGGGCAAAGGGGAGCCCGACAAGGCGCGCGCTGACGCTGCGATTGACAAGGTGAGGCAGTGGGTGGGCATGAAGGCGCACAGCGTGAGGGAGCAGGTGGCGGTGGTGGTGGAGAGCCTCCGTAAGCTGCCCATGGGCACGAGCGGGGCCACCCGACAAGGCCAGGGCAGACGCTGCCATGCGGGGGTGGGGTGGCGGTGGGGACCATGGTGCAGCGGGAGAGAGGATGGGGTATGAAGTGGGGAGATGGGGGGGATGAGAGCATTGGGAGAAGAGAGTGGAACGGAATGGACATGTCTTGGTTCACTGTTGACTGCTCTCACCCGCCACCTAAGCTGCCTCACACCTCACCTCGCCTGCATGCTTCCCACATGACGGTTCCGTTCTTGGCATATTTTCGTGTCACCAGAATGGATTGTTCGCCCCTTCACACACCTGCGCACCTCTTCAATGCGCTCTCAAACCCCGCACTGCCCATGCCCGCCCTATCAGCTGGCGCGGCTGTTTGACATCTACGAGAAGCACCTGGAGGGGCGCCAGTACCTGGTGGGGGGGCGGTGCACGCTGGCGGACCTCACCCACCTGCCCTACACCGAGGTGCTCTTCCATGCCGGCGCCGGTGACCTCATCACGTCACGCCCCAACGTGGCGCGGTGGTGGCAGCGCATCTCGTCTAGGCCCGCGTGGAAGAAGGTGCAACAGCTCGAAGCTATCCCGCACCTGCCGCCCACCCCCGCCTGACGCGTGACCCTCCTCGTCACAGTGAGGGCTGCCCGTCTTCCATCAAAAGCAGTGCTGACCTCACTTGGCATTCTGGGCACACTGGCGGATCACTGCAAACTATGTAGAGCGCTTCTGCTTCTTGTTGGCGCATATACTTCACACCTGTTGTGTGCTTCGGGTGGGGCAGATTGGCACACTTGGAGCGTGGTACATGTGCATGGGAAGCATTGATGGTTGGGTTAGGCCACATCCTAGCAGCTCCAAATTGTCGCACGAACGCAGATGTGCTGAGCCTCACCTCACCAGCTACTGGCGACAAATGTCCATCCTCGTGGGAAAGGCGGGGTGCAACTTGTTGGGCTGAAAAGGGCCCTTAGGATCTTTAAGACTAAGACTCTGAATAACGATATAATTTTCAAAAACTGAAAACAGCGGAATGAGTTGGATTGATTGGGTTGGGGTACAAATACCGTAATCACCCGGACATAACACCCGGGGGTATTATGATAACCACAGGGAAAAAAGGGGGGGGTCCTTGTTTCTGTCGAAACACCACACCAGAAGCGAAGCACGCCATGTCGAAGCACCCGCGAGTCAACCCTCGGAGGTTAAAAGAGGTTGCTGGAGGTTACGCGAAAGTCAAAGGTCAAGCGACCTTTGACCTGACAAATACAGCGCGACAGTTAAGGACACACAGCTGACTCGTTACAGAGCAGTTGCCCGAGTCGTACTGTATCGAACCGCAACAGCAACAGTAAAGTAGTTACAAACTGCATCCTTTCATATTCCTTGTATTATTATATAATCTTGTACTTCCTTGCTATAATCAATCTACTTTGCCCTCACATACCAGCGCAAGGTGGTTCACAAACTTTTGTTAAACGCTTCCGCTATTACAACACTATCCATCCAGAGTTCTCCCTTGAAAGATCCTAAGGGGCTATCTCAGCCCAACATGGTATGAGAGCAAACAGGGGAAACTCTACTACCTTCAAATCATTACAAGACATGGCAACAAGCAAGGAAAGGAGCTCGCCTAACGGCTCCCCAGGCACTACTCCTACTCCACCTCCTGCCTCTGGCCTGCAGACAAGACCAAGAGTAACATCCACTGAAACTCCCGCAAATCACCCCGCGAACTTCGACCCGAGTATAATGGAGAAGTTCTTCTCCTTCATGTCCTTCTACGAGCAGCACCAGCAGTCGGGACCTGCACAATCACACAACAGCAACAACAACGGAGCAACACCCATGAGCCTTGACGGGTCGTCATATGCGCGCGGAAACCAACAGCAGCAACCTACCTTCGCCCCGTACGAGCGCGGGTCGATCAGCTTCATGCCGCAGCCTTCACCTGGACAAGATAAACCACTGGACGCGTTACAAGTGCAATCGCAGTTCGCGCACGTTCTGAAGCTGCAGACATCAAGGCCCTTCGACGGAAAGGACTTCTTCACCTGGTCATTCGAGTTTGAGTTAATGATGGAAGGCGCGCAGATACTCGGCTTCTTCGACGGGTCCCTGCAATATCCAGCAAACGGCACACAGTATGAGAAGCAGCAGTATACGTATCAATCGATGATGGCGTATACGATTCTACTGAGGAACGTCACACCAACTCAGCAGCAAAACATACGCTCTTACCGGGGTTACGGCAACTCCGCTGAGCTCGCGTACAGCCACCTGAAGAGCCTGTATCAAGCAACAGACAGCGTAAACCAAAGCAGGTTAATGGCGCAGTTGACAACAGTTGAAATGAAACCGGGAGAAAAGGGGATGGCGTATATCAGCCGATGTCGCGAACTGCGCGACAAGCTTCTTCGATGCGGAGGGTCAATCTCTGAAGACGCCTTCGTGACAGTCATCATTGGTGGTCTCGGTCCCCAATGGCGCGCCACCAAAGCTATCCTCCGAGCCCACGGCAGAATCTCTGAAGCAGCACTCTGCGCCGAAATCCACGCTGAGCAGCAGGACATGGACCTGCAAGAAGAACGACACAGAAAGAAGACGACAACATCAGAGTTCGCGTTTCACACTCAACGACGTCACAACAATTACAACAATCGACAACAACAACCGAAGCCAGTACCTCCTTTCTGCCACATCTGCAAGACTTCAGGACACCCGCGCACACACTGCCCGAATCGACAACCGTCAACGACTCCGCAGCGACAGCTACGACCTTCAAGCAATCAAGTCGCATCAACACAGCCGAATCCAACGACCCAGCTCCAATCTTCAACAACTCCAACGGGACAACCTGCGCAAGGAGCAAGAAACATCGTTAGCTGCATGGCAAGACTGAACGATTCTTGCATCACAGAATCGCCACCGTACTACTCACCAGAAGAGCAATTCGACGAAACGACACCACGCCGCGAGTCACTTCAGCCGAACCCGACATACGCTGCCATAGCCCAAAACGAGCCATCCGGGAAGGACACGTGGTTCTTGGACAGTTGCTGCGGACAACACATGTGCTCCTCAGGACGCTTCGTACAACGAGAATACCAGCTTCAACGAGAGGTGGTCATCACCGTCGCCAACAATCAAAACCTGCGCACACGACGACAAGGAGTTGTTCAACTTCAGTCACGAGAAACGAACGTCATTCTACAGATGTCCAAGGTTTTAATTGCAGAAGGCCTCGGCTACAACTTACTCAGCGTCAGTCAACTGATGGCGAAAGGCATTCATCTTGAAGCAGACAGCACAACCCAGGAATTCAAGCTGTACCACGGGAGAGGAGGTCTCTACATCGGCAAGGCGGTTCTCAAGAACAACGTCTTCGTTCTTGACTTCGTCCCCGATCTCGGAACGGCCGACAGCGACGCCATCGTCAACTTCACTGACTGGACACATCCTCCAGATCTTGATCCAGACTTCAGCCCGAGCGGCTTCTGGTACTCACACACCATCCCTGAAACAGAAAGAACAAGGGCGCTGGCGACAATTCAGCAGTCGGCAGCAGCAGAGACAACATTAGCAGCAGTAGAAACAACATCGACAGCAACACAGACAACAGCAGCAGCAGCAGAAACATCAACACCAGTCGCCGGTCCCTCAACGGCACAGCCCTTCATCGACGAGACGCCGCCAACACCGGCGCAGCAGCTCAACCCGGCACCACGGGAAGTTCATAGAAGCGCGAACATCATCGCCGGCCTCTACTCCAACTCCGACATATACCGACGCTCGCCAGGACACCGCGCCAACGAAGAAACCTGGCACGCAAGAATGGGACACCCAAGCAACACAGTATTAAACAACACGATAAGAGCTGGAGTACTTGACAAGGATTCACTCTTACTGATCGACGGCAGAGAACTTCAGCGAGCTCGAGGAACGTGCTTCACCTGCCCCGAAGCCGACTTACCGCATCAGCCCTTCGTCTCGCATCACAACCCAAGCGCACCTGCATATGCACCACTCGAGAAAGTGTACAGCGACATCTTGTACAACCGCGAACCCGGACAAAACGCGTACAACTACACCATCACCTTCATCGACGCCGCTACACGTTACGTCTGGCACCTAAACTTACCAAGTCGCGACATGGCTTTCGAGGCTTTCGTGGCATGGCTTCCAGCAGCAGAACGGGAATCGGGAGCTAAACTCAAAAGTTTTCAATCAGACGGAGGAGGAGAATACTCGTCACAGCGGTTCAAGCAGTATCTGGCGGAGAAGGGAATCAAGAGACTCATCTCCCTTCCCTACGCCCATCAACAGCAGGGTGTAGCAGAAAGGATGAACAGGACTCTGCAGAACACCATGCGCAAACTGTTACGTGGCATGCGGCTACCCAACCACCAGTGGCCCGAAGCAATGGACCACGCCGTGATGCTGCACAACTTGCTTTCTTCGTCGTCACTCCCGAACAACACATCACCGCATCTGCTGTGGACAGGGAAACTGGGCAGCACAAAAATGTTACGAGTCTTCGGCTGCATGGTACAGTACCGACCCCCATCTGCACGAGCCGGCCGATTCTCCCAACGCGCACAGTGGGGACTACACCTGGGCATCGAAAAACATTACAACGCGTGGAAAATCTTCGACATCCACACCAAGGAAACAGTAGCAGCACGTGATGTCATTTTCTACGAACGGCTCACACTGCCAACGTATCTTGCCAACCTGGACGAAAATCGAGACCCCACAGGTGGCTTCCGTGGCGATCGAGCCTTCGCTTCGGCAGAAGACGAAGCTGACTGGGACGAGCAGAACGTGGAAGGAGCCTCGGAAGAAGCCGGACCTCTTCCCTACTGCTCAGTGGACGTACCGATGGACGAAGATAACCCTCGCGAAAGCGTCAACGCCGAAACCTACTACCACTTCGCCGACAACGGTTACGTTACACCTGCTGAAGTCAACACCAACGAAGCAGAACGCATAGGGCCCAACTTCGCACCTGATCCAGAAGCTGGAGACGAGGCAGTCTATCCCGAGGACACCACACTCCCCCGCTACACACAGAGTGGACTCCAGATACTCGGGCTCGTCACCGCAGTCCACGGCGCCGCCATTCCTAAAGAGCCTGCAACGATTCAGCAGGCTCTGGGGGGGGAACACAGGGAAAAATGGCGTGAAGCCATGGACAAGGAGCTGAAAGCGCTAGAAGAACGCAACACCTGGAAAATCGTTCCTATCGGCGTAGCACGAAACAAGACCATTCTCACCGGAAAATGGGTCTTCCGCGTGAAGACGAAAGCAGATGGCACCATCGACAAATTCAAAGCACGCTGGGTCGTACGCGGCTTCGACCAAGAGCACGGTCGCGACTTCACCGAAACCTTTGCTCCGGTCAGCCGACACACCTCACTACGCATTCTCCTCGCGATCGCCGCCATGAAGAAGAAAAGGCTACGACAAATCGACGTCGCAAACGCCTTTCTCTACGCACCTGTTGACGCAGAAATCTTCGTGGAGCTACCACACGGCTCCAGCACGGACTCCACACACGTCTGTCAACTACTCAAATCGCTCTACGGCATCAAACAAGCCCCACGACTGTGGCA